ATGTTCATTTGCATATACAATTGCGGTCCAGGTTCGAGTTGCTAACGATTTTTGGGTTGAGGAGCTGCTTGAGGCTTTGGTTGGGGAGTTAGAGAGCTGAGTTTAAAACTTTTATCTTGCACGTGCATAGAGAATATCCCTGCAAAGTTTCAGCTTTCTGCGTTGCCTGGTTCGCGAAATCGTTTCCGCCAAAATATTTCTTGGGGGGTCCTGCATGCGGGGTCTAGGCGCGTATGGGGTAAGATCTTAAAACGAGAGGGTGACACACGGGTAGGAACATATATCCAAAGTTTCAGTCTCCCAGCTTTCTTGGTTACTGGGATGAAAGTGGGTGACAAAATGCACTCGCTTTCCCAACACACACACAGACAGCCTCTCGACAGCATGCGTTTTTGCTGGTTGTAGCAGCACTATAGCGCTGCTATTGTGCTGCACAGCAGAAGCGCGTAAAAACTGAGTCTGTGTGAATGTAAATTGCCCTATAAAAATCCGCCATTAGTAGAAGACTTCCTTGTTTATGAAGCTGATGCTTATATAAAGCTGAGAATAATAAGATAAAGCTGCGCATAAGATAAAGCCAAGAAGTGTCAGCTTTACCTAAGCATCAGCTTTATAAATAGGGAAGCCCAATGCTGCAAACGGACTTTTATAAGTCAATTTCTACTCATAAGTTTTTCCTTTTGCTGAGTTTTGTTTATTTTTTGCTTCTGCTTTCTCAGTTTTTATTTGCTTTTGTTTTCTTTGCTTTTTATGCGTTTTTTGCTGTGTAACAGCAGTACAAAACGCATATTGTCACGGGGTTGTCTATGTGTGTTTTTGTGTCCGCAGCAACTTGTCCGCAACTTTCAACTCGGGAACCACAAAAGCTAGGAAGCTGGAAATTTAGGGTAACGTTTCCCGCAGCAACTTGTCCGCAACTTTCAACTCGGGAACCACAAAAGCTAGGAAGCTGAAAACTTAGGGGAACGTTCCCCACCCACGTGCGACACCGCAAATTTAAATTCAGCTCCCCCGTACCCACGGGTAACAGGTATGGCCCCGTGAAAGTTTTTTACGGGTAAATTAATATCTCGGGAACCACGGAGCTTACGAGGCTGAAATTTTAGGGTAATGACTCTTGCCCACACTCAACCTTGCTTAAATTCAAATTCAGCGTTCCCGCGCTCTTGAGTATCACCTACGGCCTGGCGAAAAATTTGGCGGGTAAACTATTAACTCGGGAATCACAGAAAGATATTCACCTTTCAAGGTTTTGAATTTAGCTTTCATGCGCTGGTGCGTGAAATTTTTAACTGCTTTCCAATATTTGAACTATTTTC